CAAAGAACCCTCTGCAGAGGAATCCATTACTGCTCATCCAGACAGGGGGTATCCACCCGACACGAGGAAAGGGCTTCACATGTCAGGGTCTGCCACTTCTGTCGCATCCATCAGTCCCTGCTTCCTGTCTCTCTTCCCATCAGTCCCTGCTTCATGTCCCTCTTCCCATCAGTCCCTGCTTCCTGTCTCTCTTCCCATCAGTCCCTGCTTCCTGTCTCTCTTCCCATCAGTCCCTGCTTCCTGTCTCTCTTCCCTTCCTGTCTCTCTTCCCATCAGTCCCTGCTTCATGTCCCTCTTCCCATCAGTTCCTGCTTCCTGTCTCTCTTCCCATCAGTCCCTGTTTCCTGTCTCTCCTCCTCATCAGCCCCTGCTTCCTGTCTCTCTTCCCACCAGTCCCTGTTTCCTGTCTCTCTTCCCATCAGTCCCTGCTTCCTGTCTCTCTCCCATCAGTCCCTGCTTCCTGTCTCCTTCCCATCAGTCCCTGCTTCCTGTCTCTCCTCCCCTTTCCTGTCTCTCTTCCCATCAGTCCCTGCTTCCTGTCTCTCCTCCCATCAGTCCCTGCATGTGAGGACCTCCCCTCGCCCCAGAATATGAGTGTATTCAATCTCCCAAACTGAATTGCTCATCCTCTTTGGAATCAGACATGATAAAGACTTCATCCACTTGAGAGGAGCTCAAATGAAGCCCTTTCTCCTAAATTGGAAACATGGTCGCTCTTTATTCTTTCTAAATACATAATGAGCTCTGCTGCCTGATTCCATTAACAAACTGGTTGTGAAAACAATTTTTTTTTTAAAAAGCTAACTGTAATGCAATACATTACATACAAGTAACCCATATTTCTGTAGTAGATTTGGGATCAACAAAAGCAACGGCAGGCTTCTGCATTCAAGGCACTCTGCACAGTGTGTGATGCTCACAGCTCGGACTCAATGACCCCGAATACACAGCTGCTCTGAACCATCCCTGCTCTCCTCTGTCTGAACCACGAGGGCTTCAAACTGAGCAGATCCAGATCACAAATCAGATCCTGCTTATCTGTCAGCCAAGAACCAAAGCTATAGTTTATGTCAGCTGCAAGGTCAAGCAAGTCTGAGTGCTTTTTATTTCATAATTGATTTCTGTTTCAGGCAAAAAAATGCTATTCCTAAATGCATATGTGTCTGTAAGGATTTGTTATTGTGTTATATATGCACCCAACACTTTTAAAATGTCAAATTATTTCATGTTTGGAAGACATCAATACACATTTCCAGATCTTTTACTAAATACAATTTCAATCCAAAATAACATCCAGCAGCCTTTTCACATTCTACTCAAGAGGCAGGTAGATAAATATAGTTATAGTTTTATTATCATAATTCTGCTGTGTTTCTAAATGTAAACTCGAATTGGGAGGGTGTCGAAGAATCTCCCAGTGTGACTGGTTTTGAGTGGCTGTCACGCCCGGAAAAAAAAGATAGGGAGGGGGGGGGACAGTATTGACTAACCTTAATTTTCATTCACAAACCCTCGACCCCTTGGTCTCGTATCCCTCAGTATCTATATACTGCGGCAGTTTATCGGTTTTCATCTTTTTTTTAAACCACACATGTGGAGATCTCGGATCCCCTCATCCAGACGCCTCCCCTCTCCCGCACCCCAAACACGCGCCAACACATCCTCCTCACCTGGCTGCGCACAAACACACACATCGCCAGCGTGTACCACACACACACTGTACTACACCGCCCATTCACACACACAAACACATACAGCATCCACAACCATAGAAATTCTCTTGTTATTATTCGTAAACATGCAGATGTTTTCCATCATGGCCTCGCAGAGTGAAGCTCCCATCACTGACACTGATGTATTTTATTTCCAAACATCACCGTGCATGCTCCACCAGCATCACCAGTCAGCTGATGGAGGCTTGTTTTTGGGTGAAATATTTATAAGGTCTTGTCACGACTGAAGTTAAAACGCGGGCTGTTTGGCGGGTTGCATTGCGCGGAGGTCCTGACGATTTACATCTCCCCGTCTCTTTTGTGTTTGGGTCTAGAAATACAGGCCTTATATTCACCGTGATGGGCTGTGAGGCTTCAAGGTTGAATAATTCGGGTTGTGGACACGCAGGGGCTCGCTGTCAACCTTGTATTTCTTGACATTTTACGCGTAAAAACAACACCAGGCCCTCACGTCTCCTCAGAAATACAGCAGCATATTCCCTCCCGCTAATTAAGCAGCGTTTCGACCATGACAGCTGGATATATAGGCTAGATGATGCAGGCGACTGATTTATAGAGCAAAACATAATATTATGGAAGGTGTGATGCCTACCTTGGTGTTTGTGGAGCCTATAGCTGGCGCAGAGGCAGACTATGAGATATCCAGTGGCCCAGGCTCGTAAAATCAGACAACAACAACACCACGCCGGTTGTTGATGACACAGCTGTCTTGGTAGACGGGAGGGGGGGAAAAATCCTTTCCCAGATGTGTCAATTGACGAGTAAATGAAAAATCAGTTATTCAGACGCATTTTACCGGACTGACGCCTTTCCTTGACGCGAAAGGTCTTCCATTTGTCTGATAAACAGCACTGTCCTACCGAGGCTCGGTGTACCCTGCTCGGTGTGAGCTCTGTGGGAAAACCATGATGCAGTTCAATGCGACGTTAGAAAAGCTTCCCCTGCAAACACTCAGCAGGTGAAACGCCATCCTTGTGTGCTTGGAAAAAACACAAGCTCCAGAGTGACCTCCGCAAAATAAACAGTTGAGGCTTAAACAGAAGGAAAAAAAGGCGTCAAAACAACAAAATGCGCAGATATGAGCGCGCGCTGTTGGATCAGGCGCTGGGCATCCTCACTGTGTGTTTGCATCCATATTAATATTCATACAGTACTTCCTGAGAGCAGACCAGTGGTTGTTTATAGAAGGAGGGGAAAAAAGCATCCGAGGGGTCTCTGAGTCCAACTGCGACGAGGAGCTGTTATCTTGTGGCTGTTATCAGCAGAGCCAAATGAAATCCCCCTTCGCGACTCATATTAGCAGCAGACTCATAACATGTCCGGATGGATTCTTAATAAAGTGTTGTTCAATTAAAAACCTAGACTTTATTACCAGTATGCACAAACACATAACAAAGTGTCATTTATGAGAATATTACAGAATCTGAATCCCAGAAAGTCATGGGATATAAAATACTATAAAGCATAAAATCAGCTCGCCATAAACCCGTAATCCCATGGGTGTCACAGAAAAGTAGCTGCCAGATGAATATTCGTGTGACATTTTGATTGGATTGTAATTTAAATACCAATTAAATTAAATAAATGAACTAAGACCTGACTGAGAGAGCCTTCACTCAAATTGGCTTTATAATGCAGTTTCTTTTTATGAATAGGAGTATGGGAAATATACAT